AGCCTTCCACTCCCTGAATGGGTTAGAGATACTGAGGTTTTACGTTAGTAATTCAATAAGTAACTACCTGACTCCTTACGAACAAACACTTAGAGATAAGTGTAGACTCTGATGTGATGGTTTTACTGTTCGCCCTCTCACATCTGACTAGTAAGGCACCATCCACTGTGCACAAATACCGAAGGCTTAGTGGAACTTCCTTCGGTGACTGCAGCGGCGAGTAAGGGAAACAGCTTATTAAGCCCTCCCTTACTCCTTACGCCTGACACAGTTCTCTCGACTCAGATGTAATTATATGTGTGATTACATCTGACACAGGAACAGTTTAGTAGGGCAAAAACTGGTAAGGTCTTGTCATAGGTATGAGCGTAAGGTCTTGTCAGAGGGTAATTAGCACTTTGGGCAAAAACCTGATAGGGCTACCTCATGATAAGGTCTTGTCATAGGTATGAGCGTAAGGTCTTGTCATAGGGCGTAAGGTCAGGTACCAAATATCTGATAAGGCAAGACTTCATATTCCCGTGTTAAACACTTATCGTTATCGAGCCAAAGATATTATAAAGATAGTTGTAGATACCTTTACATCAGTGTCTAGACTTATCGAGAAGTGTGTAACGTCAGGAATAAGGTAGGGGATTATAGCAAGACTTAATAAGCAGTTTCCCTTACTCGCCGCTGCAGTCACCTAAGGAAGTTCCACTAAGCCTTAGGTATTGGTGCACAGTGGATGGTGCCCTACTAAACTGTTCCTGTGTCAGATGTAATCACACATATAATTACATCTGAGTCGAGAGAACTGTGTCAGGCGTAAGGAGTAAGGGAGGGCTTAATAAGCTGTTTCCCTTACTCGCCGCTGCAGTCACCGAAGGAAGTTCCACTAAGCCTTCGGTATTTGTGCACAGTGGATGGTGCCTTACTAGTCAGATGTGAGAGGGTGAACAGTAAAACCATCACATCAGAGTCTACACTTATCTCTAAGTGTTTGTTCGTAAGGAGTCAGGTAGTTACTTATTGAATTACTAACGTAAAACCTCAGTATCTCTAACCCATTCAGGGAGTGGAAGGCGCTACGCAAAGGTTACGAAGTCACTTAGCAGCTAGAAAGAAGGAAATTGATTGTCTATCATACTGTTTTATGAGGACCAAGGGGAGAGGTCCATTAAACGCCTTACGTTATAAGGCTATTCGCCGGCTCATTCTTCAACAGGCACGCGGTCAGAGTCCTGGTCTCCTCCCACTGCTTGGAAGCTTACGGTTTCATGTTCTATTTCACTCCCCGATGGGGGTTCTTTTCACCCTTCCCTCACGGTACTACTTCACTATCGGTCACCCAGGAGTATTTAGCCTTGCAAGGTGGTCCTTGCTGATTCACCGCGAAGGTTCAAGACTTAGCCGAGCGTTAGCGAAGCGCTGTAGTAGCGCTGAAGCCCTAAGAACACACACTACTGCTATCCTTCTTAACAAATCTTATTAGGCCGCAAAAGGCGGGCTCATGAGTTAGCGATCAAGCGGAAAAGGACCCGCTGGTTTCTTGTCTTTCTGGAGCAGAGCTGCCTTGCTCGTAGCTCTTTCGGGCAGACCTTCTACGATTCTCATTTGAAATGAGAGATTTTTTGTTTGATTGCTGGAAAGTCCGGGTCCGGGGCTAAAAAAGTAGTATACACAGCCTTGGTCCAACAGACTCCCTCCATGCCTCCCACTCCCCCTCCGACTCCGACTCCCCCTCCGACTCCGACTCCGACTCCCCCTCCGACTCCGACTCCACCTCCGACTCTCCCTAAAACTCTCCATAAAACTCTCCCTCAAACTCACATCCTCCGACTCACACACACACAAACTTAATCATACACAAACTAAAATCACACTATACCAAAGTACTCACATATACTACCACATACTGCCCCATACTCCCATTTACTCACACACCATACAAAGTACTGAGATTAACACTCTATTACTACAAAAAACCCCCCCAAGGAAAGTACAGATACTTATTACTACACAATACTCTCCCTAAACTACTCCCATAAAAGTAACACACTAAAACACTCTAAAGTAACACTAAACCATCTACACTAAGATAATTCAATGGTCCAGTTCAAACTACGACACTAAGACCATTTTACTGTTCTACACATGGTCCTTAAGAAAACATTAGGGTAGGGAGTTAATCCTCACAAAAGATGCTATGTGGCTCATAATATTAGCCTTTCCAACGAATCGGGTTAATCCTTAATGTGGGTAATCAACACTGCTTTATTATACAGAAAAAGGCGTAGTTCTGTCCTACTCAAAAATGAGGATTAGCCACCACTCCAAATTAGAGTACTTTTCTTAGTGTGGTGGTTTTTCATCATCGAACTCAGATGAGATCTCTTTGTATCTCTCGGAAATCTCACTTTCTTTCCGATTTAATTGATCAGATAGAGTCAGATTTTCATGCTGTAGTTGTAGTAACTCATACTTTAGAAATTGGATAATTGATTTTCCAATGTGATCTAGGGAAGACAAGTCATTTATATTAATTGGGTCTGTATCAACCCATACATCATTATCATATACTGATATCCTCTTGTGCCCAAGCTTAAGGCCGAGCGTGACCAGGGTGTCTTTCTTGAAGATGTTCAGAGTGTTCCAATCAATTTTGAATTTGGATTCTACCGATACCTGTTCGGTATGAGATGGATTTTGGTACTGTTTCTCAAACCATTCTGGCCTGATCATATTTTTAGCTGGTCCCTTGTACTTGAGTACATTTTCTCCTTCAGTTGTGATGTAGAAATAGGATTTCGGTGCTAAAAAGTATCCTTTTGTGATTCTGTCCTCTAGCTTAAACTTGCCCAAGACAGAAGAAGAAATCTCTTCATTAGGTAGTGGGTTACCAAGCACAACAGAGTCAGTGTCAGTATAGTAGCAGTCCTCTCTTGATATATAAGGATACATATGGATCCTAGCAGAGGCTGTTATCGCAGCAGCTAGTTGGACAGCTGAGTTCTTCGGTGGATTCCAATAATCATCGCCCTTATCGGTATTGCTATGGTACGCTACGATGTAGGTATTATCGCTAAGCATATCCCCGAATATAAACTCACTATTCCTGAGTAAATTCATGTATCGATCTTCATCGCAGATCTCTGTTGTCGTGCTTTTAGGGTTAATACCAAATCTTCCGTATAGGGAATTCATTAGTATCTTGTAAACATAGGACATAGCTTCATTACCTGATTTCCTCGCTTCTAACCTGCTCTCAAAGAGTGAGCTAACAAAGCTACTGAATGGGCTTTCCATCTTCTTAAAGAGGTAGCCTGAGATTGGGAGCACGGTGTAGCCTAGGTCTCTAGCATACTTTAACTCCTCTGTATAATAGACTCCAACAAATTCACCTGATGGAAAGAGGAGAGTGTCATTCTTGTCACGATAGGGAAGAAATGGTTTCTTGATAGTCTTCGGACATATCACATATGCTTCAATAAAACCAAACATGCTATCTAAGTCCTTGTTTTGCAGATTAGAATGCCAGACTGGTTCACCACCCGGCATTGGAAATTCCTTCATTACAAAGGGATATAGAGAGTTCACATCATAGTAGTAGAGGTCCTCACCATATGGCTTGTATGTATCTGCATGACCTCCGTAGTATGCACGCCTTATGAAGGTATCTTCATTCTTGTTTGGGATGTGGATTGGAAAATTAGATACATCGTAGTATTTTGAACGAAAGATGCTAAGAGCAAGTGAGGGAAGCGTTATCTTGCTTTCAATGTCCACCTGGTACACCTCCCAATATATCTCTTGAGCTTTTTGCATTACTCCACCCAATAGACGAATATCCTGTTTCATATAATCCAACAATTCACTCTTATGAGGAATCAGATCCTCCACTTTCAGTTTGTCATATGGGATAGAGATAGAGCCTTTTGGACCAAGATCAGGGCAGAGATTGTTCCCAAGGGAACTCAGTTTGCCAGGGAGTAGATTCAAGGAGTCTCTGAAGCGGAATAACATCTTCTTATCAGAATATACAACTAACTCGTAAAGCCTATTGTTTCTCATCAGTGGTTTAAGCTTCAAGTCCTTGTGATGATAAGCTAGGTGCTTAAGCAAGATAATTCCATCGAATCTAGAGAAGTTGTGGAAGTAAATAGTTAATCTTTCTCTTTCAGCAAGACATAGGATCTTTAATACTAAGTCATTAAGTACTTTTGTACTCCTGTCTTCAAAGGAATCCATGATTATTGAGTAGTCTTCACTGAAGTAGTGAGAAATAATACTGTTATTTATCTTATCACCAGGACAAACCTTCATTAGACCGGCAGCATAAGGCTTATGAATGTCATCAATATATATAGTCTCGATATCGGCAACTATGAATGATTTCAGCTCACTCTTAGAAGATTCGAGTGCAGTGATATGGGTTGGATAGGTACTATCCGTACCATGTTTGATCTTTCTTGCAGTAATTGGCTCCACGATCTCACTCAATTTTCCTTCAATGATTGAAGAAAGTGTGTTATATCTCTCCTCCTCAGAGGGAGAAGGGCAATCCTTCTTTTTGCTGTCCATATAGACTCGGATCATGAGTCGAACTATATAATCTCCATCGTATACTTCAGCATATTTCTGAATATGTTGAGATATATGAGCATAGACATCACTTTTTGGAATTAAGTTACAATCCATATAAGTGAGGGGTATAGCCTGACAAAGCGTAAATGTGATCTCTTCCCCGAAAGTGCGCTTCATGGTTAAGGAAATTGTGAACTTACCGTAACCTGATAAGGAAGGGTAAGCAAACTGGTTTAAGAGATCCATGGTTGTAAGACTAATTAGCGCAATCTCGTTAATAAGAGGGTAAGGCTCATTGAAATAATATGATGCTATTATTAAACAAGGATGAGGTGCATGGTATGCTGTTCGTTCTATCTTTCGAAATAAGCGATTCAATAACTGTTCAGTAGTCACATTAATAGTTTGATTTTTGTACGCCATTATTCTTTTATTCAATAATGGACGCAGAAAGAATTCTTCAATTTATGTGAAAATTGATTCCACTTTTCCTCATGTGATTTCCATGATTCATTTTCACCGCACACTATTTTCAAATAGTTACTGTAACAAGTGACTATTTCATTTATCTTTTTATGCCAAAGACTCAGTTTCTGCTTACTTATATTCTCAGGAATATTTTTAATTAAAATATCAGTAAGATATTCCTTGGAAATAACATTCTTTTCATAATCAAATGAATTTATACATTTAAGATGTTCAATAACATTTATATAGATGAACTTGTTAATGATTGAAAGTGGAGGGCCCAAGCTAGAAAAGACTTCAAGATAAGCCAGTGGAATAAATGTGCTTTTCTCAACTGTTGTTATAAAGTTGTCGTGGATAGTGTATATAGGAGCATTATAATTCAGCATTTTTTCAACTACTTTCATTGCTATAAAGGCATCCTTCTGATGGATGAAATTGACGAAGGTAGAGATCTCAGTCTTCCTACAATTTCTCTTATCTGAAGGAATTCTGAAAGTAACACGCCTCCTCTTCTTATGAAGTCGGTCATATATCCATATATAAGTTGATTCCATTTGCATATAATCCTGAACACTTGTAAAGTAACTTACTGTATATTTAACGGCACTATCCCTAGAAGACACGACCCATCCAATAAGGCGTATCAACCTTATCAGGCAGTCCATTCCAGAATATTTTTCTTTGAAGAACTTAAAGCAGACAGAGGCAACTTTGAAGCATTCCCAACTCATAAGGTATTGAGAGAAATGTCCCGTAAGATCGATTGATGTGCTCATTACTGTTTTTCCATAGATAATTGGCATAAAGATTGATTTAACAATCTTCCGATTGAGGTGTTCGCAAACAACCGAACATAAATTAGGATCAAATTCGGGTTCTGCTTTCATGAACTCCTTTAGCTCATCGAGGAAGTACAAATAAATATCTTGTATTTTATTTGGATTATCCGGGGATAGGAAGAGATTTGTTCTCTCTGCCAGTCTCTCATCCAATAAAAAGTAACTCATAATCTGATATGCACTTGATGCTGCGTCCTGTGTAATAGGTACACAGTCTTTTAAAAACTTCAATTTGTTATTTTGGATTGCATAAATATTAGCTGCAAACTGAAAAGGGTGTTTAGCCAACGTTATGTTTTGATTGTCTTTATTATTGTTGACAAAATCCACTGCTTCAAGCATTGAGTTGAAAGACTGAAAATGGAAGAATGTTGATAATTCAACTTGATCTCTTATCAAAGAATTACACTTTATCTCCTCCTGATTATCATTAGCAAACACTATCAGGCTTCGTGCTAGATCACACTCGTGGAAATGCAAAACACCACTGCGATAAATTCTCCCTCTGAAGTCAAGAAAGGCAGGTAGGTAAAATTTATAGCCATCGTAGACTCTTGCGAGATTGAGAATCAATCGTTCATTGCGAGAACGCTGGATAGTCTTAATCACTGTATGTAACAATTCGTTAAAGGTAAATTGATTGGATATCATCTTATCCTTCATGAGGAAATCCCTAAGAACGTGGCTAACATCTCGTATATTCATCGCTAGCAGAAATTGTGGCATAAGAAGACCCTGTTCAACAAAATGTTCTTCATTTTTCATTAAATGTTTCAACCAATCACTGTTAATTGTAAAGGGCTGCCTTTGTAGGGCATTCATAACTTTACACAGAGACTTGTAATCATTCTTATAATAAGAAGAATTCCCTATATATATATATAAGTGATTTATGTCATTAGAACTTAATAAGCGGTAACGATCATAAATCTCACCAGTCGGTGCACTTAGGTACCCCCCTGATAGATCAGAGAGATATCGAGGAGATTGATTCTCCGGACACGCACTCTCCCAATCAAGAGGTGGGCATATCATAGGAAGGTTGAGCTTGCATTGAAGTAAAGTCAAATCAAAATTACAGACAATGAATTTATTTATACTCCACTTTTTCTTAATATCACTACTAAAGGATTCGATTGTAACATAATCGACCAATCCCCGCTCCTCCATAAACTCGAGTAAGAAGACACCGAAGGTAAACTTCTTTTCTATTTTATCATCCAAATGAACATTTGAAATGCTCTTTTTAGAGGAGTGTGATTTTAATAACCTATAATGTTTACGTACAGAAGAGTCGAGTTGACTAATTAAAGAAGCTGGACGTACCATAATTTCATATGTGTTGAAAACAATTCCCAGAACGTGAATAATTAATGCCTCTAGAGTATATTGACCGAACTCTTCAAGCATTTTGATGTCATCATCATCATGAAATTTGTGAATTATATAATCCTTTGCACTCAATTTATCTTTCCGTATTAAGATTTTAATCAAGTTAGGAACTGCAGTATATATTGAACTCTCGTCGAACTTCATACTGTTATCTTCTATTTTCTGTTGTAGCTGACGTAATTCAATTTCAGTTAAAGGCAACTTCTCTTTATATTCTTCGAGAATATTAAATACTGAATGTTTATACAATTGAGATTTGGTCTTCTTAACCTCTCCCCCTGTGAATTGATTATTCTCCTTCAAATAGGCATAAAACTGATTTAAAAATATCTCTAGCTCTTTAGAATTCTTTTGCTTAGAATTCAATGAGGCTAGAACCCATTTATTTGTGTATTTTTGATACATCATGGTGTGATTTTGTTTATATTTGGTCGTTGTCGTTGGGCTCCTTTTCAGAATGGAGTGTACTGGTTAGCACTGGTGTGTACTGGAGTGGACTGGTGTGTACAGGTGTGTACTGTACTGGTGTGGAGTGGGGTCTCTTTTGGTAGTAATAGAGAGTTAATCTAATAAGATTTGTTAAGAAGGATAGCAGTAGTGTGTGTTCTTAGTTCTTAGTTCTTTCTCTCTTTGTGCTAAAACCGGTAAGGTCTTAGGGTAGGACTACCTCATGATAAGGTAAGGTCTTAGGGTAAGTTAGATATGTCTAACTGATGATAAGGTCAGGTAGTCATGATAAGGTAAGGTCTTAGGGTCTGATAGGGTCCGGTAGGATAGGGTCTGATAGGGTCCGGTGGGATATGGCCAAAATTCGATAGGGTCAGGTGGGATATGGCCAAAATTCGATAGGGTCAGGTAGTCATGATAAGGTAAGGTCAGATAGGGTCAGGTAGGATCTTGCAAGACTTAAACACATCTCTAGCAAAGATATGAAAGTATTGTATCGCTTCACATCATTGTCTAGACGTATGTATAACAGTTTTATGGATGGGTAGTAAGGTATAAGACTTACTAAAAACCACAGCAACTCTACTCCGCCCGACCTGCAGGATGTAACGATGAGCATATGAATACTGTGGCTACTTAACCTTCCCCTATTCATTCTTTCTTTCACTCCTTTTATTCTTTCTCCTGAACTACTCAATAACTTAACTTGTCTTGTGCCTATTTCTTTCTTTCTTCTTTAACTGGAAACTCGGTAAACTCTTTAACCTTTCCAGAGTCGGTAAAGGATATTCTTTCTCCGGGCGGAACCTGAACCTGATTTGACTCATGAACCTCGTAACCAAGGCAAGGGTTTAACTATTAACTATTCTAGAAGGAGGTAAATTCTGTTCCGGATTTCATGAAAGAATAAATGGGTTCAGGGTCAGGTAATAAAAGAAAGCTAGAAAGGCTAAGACAGACAGAGAGGAGCGAAGGATAATTAATGTTGTTTCGTCTTGAAAGCGAGAGGAAAGAAAAGCAAAGAGAAGAGATCTCGTTCAAGAAAAGAGCTACTGAATGAACCAACCCATTTACTGAGTGAAAGAATCCATAGGGGAAGGGAGAGTCAAAGGCAGAAGAC